AACACTAAATACAAACTGAAATGAAATCTATCTGCAAGCAAAAGATGTAAACTCTCTATATCTGTGTGTGTGTGTATGTGTGTGTGTGTGTACATACATACATATATATATATACACACACACAGACACATATACATACACACAAACATATATATTACACACACACATACACATATATATAATCATATGTTATATATATGAACTTCAATCAATAAATGGTTAAAAGATTATGGCCATGGTTTTACAAACACAACACAGCAATAAAAGGCTTCATTTTTCAATTGGCAATCCATTTACATTTGTTATCTTTGGCATACAAAGAAAGTAATCTTTACTGTTCCAGTAAGTTAAGTTTGCACTGTGTTTCTAAAAGTGTTTCTAAATCACCCTGAAATAGTTTGAGACTATATATCTTCTTTCTATTTCATAGCAGCAAATAAAGACTTGAACAGCTTTATTTCTGAAAATAGTTTCAGGCTTTAATAATTTTTTCACATTTGTGTTCCTCATAATTCAACTTATCCATTAATTTCCTTTTGGCTCATTTAGTTGCCAAAATGCTGGCTATCTGGTTAATTTATATGAATCTTAGTTTTAAAATTGTAATGCTATCTTTTCAAATATCTGAATCATGACATATATCAAAAAGCACATGGAAATAATGGCTTCAAATGAATTTTACTGATTGTAATGTTTTGATTATAAAAGCAGTATCTTTTCCTTCAAATTTAGTTCTTTCAGATCCCAATAAAATGTATAAAGCCCTGAATTTAGTACTATTTTAATAAAATATATACATACATAGACAGAGAGATGAAGAATTGACTAGGAAAAAATGATTAGTCATACAAACCAATCTTTGGTTTATTGAGTAAAAAAGGAATTACCATGCAAACCATCAGCAACCAAAGGTCAAAGGTCCTTAGAGGCTCAGAAAAGGGGTTTCCCATAATGTCCCTGCAGCAGTTACAGTTTCCAATGATCACTTTTGTGACTATGCAACTGGGCTTATATTACTAGCTGCAACATCACAAAAATGACACTGGCAACTGCTAATTAGCTGGCAAAATAAGAATTTGACCATTTTAAAAGTGAGCAGTATTAATAAATGCCATTGCACACAGCAAGCAATGATAGCATAATATATATTTTAAGCAAAGCCCTCATGTGTGATGCTAATTATCTTTTAGCTTAGCAGTGTCTCTTTAAAGTGTAAATGCGCTCCCTCTGGGCTCAAGAAATATTTAATTACATACTATCAGTGCATGACTAACAAGCTGATCCAGAGTTTAAAAAGCTTAGTCTATTGTTCAAAATGGAATTAGGATTCTGGAACCATTAAACTGACCAGTATTTTGAGAAGGAGCAGCTTCACCTTTCAAACACTGCATTCTGCCTAAGCATTTTAAGCTTACTGAGGGAAAAAGAATCTTCCTTCACTCATCAATATTTTAGAGTACAATATTTCAAACAGCGAAGAGCTTTTAATCCCTTAGCTTTAATTCATCTATTCAACAAATTATAACCTATTCAACACAATAGCCTTTAGCAAGCAGGAACAAAAAAAGCACGAAGTAGTTGTTTTCACAGTCCAATAGAATCTGCTTAATTAAAAACAAAACAAAACAAAACAAATGCTTAGTTCTGAAGATTCTGGAGCAAATTTTTCTCAGTGATGAATTATAGTACTAGGGAATGGGCCATCTATATTAAATATCTCTATGTACATACATGTACAATATACTTAAAAGTAAACATGAACAGCTTAAAGGGAAATCAAACCACCTCAAAAATAGGGGCTGCATTTTGTAAGATTAATTTAAGAATCTAGTTCTCTTGTAAGGCATTAATTTTTCTAAGAGTGTGGAATAATAACATATTAAAATAGTTAAGACATTAACTGTAAAATCAATTCTACTAAGGAAGGAAAATTAAGATTGATGAAAAATTAATATTTTTTAAAATTGCTTTTGGCACACAAAGCAGTATTTCATCTGTTTTGTCTTTTATAAGGTAATAGAATTATAATTTAAAAACAAAACAGAACTCATCCCCAAACCCTTGTGGATAATTTGTAATGAACATAAAAATAAATCAATCTTACTGAAAGTATACTGTACACTTGGTTGTCTGATAAGATGCATATTCATAAAACTTTTAATAGCTTACTTGTATTTTTTTTCTTTTAAATCCAGATGGATTTCTTCAAGTCACTCTTTTATTCCTTCACAATTTCATTACACACGCAAGAACCTCGCATAAGGCTTGTGGATTTTACTCTTAGACACTGCAGTAACAAGCAATTTTAGCCATATCTTAGACCTAGTATTCTGCTTATAGATAAGTAAAGGCTATTAGTTGGCAAATGTCTGTTGACTGGAAAATGAATACATGGAAAACAGCAACAGAAGATAGCTGCTATAATACAAGAAATGTATAGCAGAAAGACTGTGAATTGAATCCAAATTAATGATCAAATTTAGATATTCTCTAGAAATTTCTCAAGATTTTGATTGATTGATCCTCAAGTCACTGAGGATTCTTAGCCACCACATAGACCTTCTCTGTGATGATCTTAAGACTGCTCATTGATTTAAATAATTAAATTATTGTAACATGGATCAAGTACTGTTAAGGTGACCAACCGTCTTCCTTTAGGGAGGACAGTCGTCCTTTTGTGAGTTCTGTCTTCCCTGAAAAAGTGTCCTCCTACATCTCCTCCTTTTCGATATTTGAAGACTAATCTGCAGGGCTTTTTTTTTCTCATAGAACGCTCAGAACGGCGTTCCAGCACCTTTTTTTGATGGTTTTTTTTCAACTTTTGCATGAGCTCTGCTACTCCCCCTATTGGCTTTCAAAAGCCAATAGGAATTGCTGCTGAGCTTGCCAAAACACTCAGCTGGCAAACTTTGCATATGTAAGTTGTCTGCAGCGAAGGCGAATTGGCAGGAACTTTGCACCCCTCCCTGCTACCCAACTACACCATCTCCTAGTTAGTCCCGAAGATACCTGGAGGAGACTGGAGCAGCAACGCCATGGTAATTTTCTCTTGATCTTCGGCCCTGCTAGGGCAATAATGGCTGTGGGTGCAAGAGGCTGGGGCAATGGGGCTGCTGCGGGTGGGGGTGTGAGGGGTGGTGGTGGCCGGCTGCCCCCCATGCTATGGGAGCCATGGGGCCTGCTCTACACGGCGGAGCAGCAGTGCTGGCGGAGCGGCTGCAGGCGGGGGCACGGCATGTAAGCATAATTACAATATAAAATATTATTGTTACAAATGTTTTTTATTATGCATTTATCATATTATAGGGTATTCTGTATTATTGTTGCAATGAATAAAATGTTTCTTTTATTTACGATATTTTTTTCTTCAATTTATTTGTGTCCTCCTTTTCATTGTGAAAAAGTTGGTCACCTTAGTACTATGTATTGTTTATATGTAGTCTTTATCAATAATAGAAAAACCTCTGGGGGAACATTTAAAAGCCACATAGATTTTATTAATCACTATGTATTTTGATGTACATCATAATAATGTTTACAAAATGCTAATTCAACATGTTGTACATTTATTTTAATGCTAACAGCATTATTTGGAGGAACTTCAATATAACATATTGAAACTTGCACATTTCAATATAATGTACTGAAATTTGTATTTTTCAATGAACCATTGTGGCATTTAAATGAATTTGACTAGATAACATTTCAAGGAACCTTAAAACTGATTTCTAGTGGAAGGGGAGTGTTTAGACACAGATAAGAGGTTCAGAAATTATTTAAAGCATTGAGATATAAAGAAAAAAATACTAATCCATTATCCCAAACTATTTTCTCAATTACTGTTAAAACAAATGAAAAAGAATTTAAATATCATTAAAATAACCAACAAAACATGGGTGGGAAACACTAAGTGATTACATGTGGGAGAAGATGATTAATGATATATAAGGATCAGTGCAACTAAGAGCTTTGAATCTGTTTTGAGAGTGGGTAAAGAGGTTAAATTGGGCAGACTTGTATAAAAAGGATCTGTGTATAGCTTTTTTCTGATCTATGGAAATTCAGCCTAGGAGTATAGAACTGGATGATGTTTAAGTATTCATCTGTCAATCTGCTTCAAAATAAAAAACACTTTTGCATCTCCATTAGGCCCCAGTCCATCTTAGCTGTGCTTTGATTATTCTAGATACAAAAAAGTATATTAGAGCTGAAGTTGCTGAATGCCTAGAAAAATAGAACAATATGACATTGCAATATGAAAAGTGAGTTTTACCTCAAGACAAATATAGTAGCTTCAGTTTATTGGCATGACATATAGAAACATCGCCACCTAATATGCTTGTTGTACATGCCTATTTAAAGAAAAGAAACACCTTGTACTTACATGGAATTGTTGGTTTAGATTTTTTTCAAGTGCATTAATCATGATATTAAAAGTCATAATAAGCAATTTAATTACTTATATTGGCAATGCTGGCTATTTGCATGATTATATCTACAGCAATGTTTCTCAAGCTTGACAATTTGAAGATGTATGAATTTCAAATCCCAGAATTACCCAGCCAGCTTAGTTGGCTGGAGAATTCTGGGAGTTGAAGTCCATACATCTTCAAGTTACCATAGTTGAGAAATATTGATTTACGGTACAGTATTTATAACTTTACTACCATCATTAAAAGCTTCTAAACTGCTTTTAGAAGCAGTTGACATTCAAAATACTGGCTGACTGGGTTTAGAATTGTGATATTAAATGGATCATTCTCTATGCCACATTTTACTATGTGAAACCCTAGGAAACAGACTATTTTGGCATGGGAGAAGGAACAATATATTAAAATTCTCTAGCCACAATACATTTGTACTATATGTCACAAGTAAGTCCATGACAGCCTTGCATTTGCCTCATCATGTACTACAAATTGCTTAAATTATTTTCAGGCAGTACACAATTCTTATAATTATTCTTTAGCTTGGGAATTAAATAATTATTTCTACTGTACCTGCGAAAATCCAGAAGGGATCTTGTGGATGCAGGAACTTGTTGATCATGCCAGGTAAGATAATGGAACTGGGTTACTGTCCGAGTCTCATTACTTTGAAGATTTTTCAAGTAAAAACTTCTTACAAGGAAGTCTTCACACCAGATGTGTTCAGAGACCAGATTTACCTATTGTAACATAAAAAGTGCAAAACTGAGTCAACTATAGAATATAACTAAAAATGTAAAATTTTATGTGAACTTAATTGGGGCATGACTAAAAATGTTTCAAAAGGCAGTACACTATGTCAGGGTTTTTCTGGGAATTAAATAAATATTTTTGATTATTTGCTCTAATTAAAAGAATATACCTTTTGCTAAATACACTATATATTTTATATGTTGATTGCTGCAGAAGTTAAATATTGGGCATATAAGAGTTACCATTTTACTGGCAATATACGTAGCATCGCAATCTTTCCTACAAATTATGAATCCAGTTGTTTTAAATTGAAAATAAATATGATGTTGGAGAGAATGTTAGGTTTGAAAATGAAAACCTATTTAAGTCTTTAAGCAGCTTATGAAAACTAACTTTTCTTAACTTATTCTATTCCATCTGGAACAAATATTAAAATGTTAAAAGAGATGTTAATATAATATTCCAACTAGCCCCCACAAATGAATTAATTAAACTGTTCTGATTTAGGCAAGAAAAACCAAATGCACAAGTACAGCATAGGTGGCACCATGCTCAATAGTAGTAACTATGAGAGGGACCTCGGAGTCCTAGTAGACAATCACCTAAATATGAGCCAGCAGTGTGCTGCAGCTGCCAAAAAGGCCAACACCGTGCTAGGCTGCATTAACAGAGGGATAGAATCAAGATCACGTGAAGTATTAATACCACTCTACAATGCCTTGGTAAGGCCACATTTGGAATACTGCATCCAGTTTTGGTCACCACGATGTAAAAAAGATGTTGAGACTCTAGAAAGAGTACAGAGAAGAGCAACAAAGATGATGAGGGGACTGGAGGCTAAAACATATAAGGAACGGTTGCTAGAATTGGGTATGTTTAGTTTAACGAAGAGAAGGACAAGGGGGGACATGATAGCAGTATTCCAATATCTCAGGGGCTGCCATAAAGAAGAGGGAATCAATCTATTCTCCAAAGCACCTGAAGGCAGGACAAGAAGCAACGGGTGGAAACTAATCAAGGAGAGAAACAACCTAGAACTACGGAGAAACTTCCTGACAGTGAGAACAATTAATCAGTGGAACAGCCTGCCTCCAGAAGCAGTAAATGCTCCAACACTGGAAGTTTTAAAGAAGAGACTGGACAGCCATTTGTCCGAAATGGTGTAGGGGGTTGGACTAGATGACCTCCAAGGTCCCTTCCAACTTTACTATTATTATTATTAAATAAAATGTAAAACTATATGATAAAGTTTTTAAAATGAGATACATGGATGCATCATTCGCTCTTGGAAAAGTAGCTTCTTATACATTAAAAAAATTAGTATTTCAACTACAAACATTTGTGCTACAATAATGCTCAATGCTAAAGCAAATCTTTATAGATGTAAGAGAGCATATTGTTACTTGTAAAACCTTTATGCTTTAAAAAATTACTATCAGACTAACTAATGGAATGAACCAGTAATCAAAGTTAACATCACAGTTTACATATTTCTAATATAAAACTATATAAATCCTTGCAAAATTAAATATTACTGTATTGCAAAATACCACTCAAGCACTATGGTGGTTTATTCTTATGCAAAAAGAGTAAGCAGAAGATAGTTTCTGTTAATCTTCTTAAATCCATAAACTGTATTATAATAACAGTATCTAACACTGAAGACAGTACAGGTGTCAATGCTGCAAATATTGTATATTCTTGCTTTTGACAATATGCAGAACTGTCTGGTATTTATGGCGTTAATACAGAGCAGAAGGGGGTGAAGGCAAAGCCAGGGGGAAAGAAAGAGGAAGAAAACCTTTGACCTTCACACTAATTGGATAATGTGATATATGACAGCTAATTTAGGGAGGGAACATGCTGATAATCTAACTGCTCAGAGGAAGAGAACTCAGATCTTAGCATAAACCCTCCGTTGTGCCTGTGCCAACATTTTGTAACAATAAAAGATTTTTAGGAAAATCAATGCCTGAAGTTCTTTGAAGTGTTTCATTAGCCGGAACCATAACAACAGGTGGTTCTTGGTTAACAATGATAATTGGGCCTGGAATTTCCATTACTAAGTGATGCTGCTGTAAATTGAGATATCATGTGCCTGCATTACTCAGTGATGGCAATCTTGGCAATTTCTGTTGCTGTTGTTAAGCAAGTTCTGTGGGCTATTAAGCAAGGATCATCTTCCTGCTGGCTTCCAACAACCAAAATCAGTAAGGAAGCCAGTAGGAAAATGTAAGTCCCAGGGAGTTTGCAAGCAAGTCACTAAGTAAGCAAGTGACTGCTATAAGATAAGATAACCTTTATGTCAATAAATGGCACACATCAAAAATGAAATTTAGTTGCCCGCTCTCAAAGTAAAACACATACATGACACACACCTAAATATACTATGAACAACATATGTATAGACCCACATCCCTACATATACGTAGCAAATAAATATTAAATATTGTCCGTCTTGAATATATAACGGAAGGAGGAAGCTTGAGAGTTTGCGAGGTTAATGCTGTATGGAATGAAACTCTGGCTGAATCTGGATGTTCTGCTTCGGATACCACGAAGCCTCCTCCCAGAAGGTAACAAGGAAAACAGGTCATGAAGAGGATGTGTAGTGTCCCAGATAATCTTATGGATCCTGCTCAAGCAGCGCTTCTGTGCTATGTCCTGGATGGGAGGGAGGGAACTGCCAATGATCTTTTGGGTAGGATAGGGTGCATTAGAGTCTAGTGAAGTGTAAGAACAATGATGCTTTGGATGGCTGTTGTGGGATGGGAGAGGGTGCTCAAGGATGCACTAATGTCAGGTTTGACATGAGCACAGCAAGGCTTGAAATGGCTGTGGTTGGGTGCAGGAGAGCATGTAAAGGTCCCCAAGGGGCTGGTGGAGAATGGTGTGAATGCAGCAAGGTTTGAGGTCACTGCTATTAGGTGCAAGAGACTTACCAAAGTAACTTGTGATCTTCACGGCCCCATTGATTTTGCTTATGGGAAGCCAGCAAAGTCACAAATGGCAATCACATGAGTGTGACACACTGCAACTAATTCACACCTCCAACGACCCTGACCTGAAGTACCTCCCCATCACAAGCCTCTCTCTGATGACTCACACCTGGTCCATCACAAGACCCTCAGTTGATACTCCTACACCTGAAACCCTTATATAAGTAGAATACTGACACAGACATCCACAAAACTCTACTGAAGATGTTACCTAGCCTGGTAATGAAACATTCAGAAACCAACCCTCAAGCTCAGAGAATGAACCTTCACTCTCATCCTACATCCGAGCCACAGATATTCACCATTATTGCAAATGCTGCAACTGTCATAAGTAATGTCCAGATCACAATTACATAACTGTGAAGTTGCTGGGATTACTACAACTTTAAGGACCAATTGTGAGTACCACTCCTCCAGCCCTGTCATAACTTTGAGTCGCATTGCATGAGTCATTGTTAATTGGGGATTATCAGTAAGGAAATAAATAAGACACTAAATGAATTTGTTTTAAGGATCAATTCTTATTTATTTATTAATTCTATTTATGTCAATCTTCCTCTTCTAGTAATGAAATAAAGCTGAGATGAATGGAAGAATGGCCTAAATTTTAAACCATAGCTCTCTGAAAACCTTATAAAAGTAGAAATAGAAAAAAAATGTGCTACCCTCAAGACAAATTACTGTTCCTTCCCTCCCCTGAAATTTCAGTAGTATAAGACCCAGCAATGGGTTTGCTTTTTCTTCATGTGCAAAGATAATGCTAGCTCAGGCAGAGTGGAATAAGAGGAAATATTGTTGTATGCAATAGCTATGACACACACACACACACACACACACACACCCATACATACATACATACATATCTATACACACACACACACACACACACACACACGTAAAATGACATATATATGTAAAATGACTAGAATTTGCTCATTATTTATCCAGCATTCTTTGCAACATAATCACAAAAAATAAAAAATAATATTCTGTGGTACCGTATATGCCGGCGTACAAGGCGACCCGGCGTATAAGACGACCGCCGTCTTTGTCGCCGGGCCGCATTCCTAGAACGTCGTCTTATACGCCGGAAACTACCAGTATTTCCGGCGTATAAGACGACTCGGCGTATAAGATGACCCCCGTCTTTGGCTCCGGTTTTAGCGCTTGCGGAAGTCACCTTATACGCCGGCATATACGGTATATTAAATACAGTAGTAATAATATTCTATATAGAGAACAAAATCTGCAGGTGATCTAATCACCTATATACTGCAAACAGTGGTCAGACGAAATATTTTCAAAAATGTAAAAAAAAATTAGAAATCCTTTATAATTAAACTGAGACAATGGTCATGAAAAATAGGCGGAACAATCCAGCTTTTCTTGCTGCCTAGGGATGATGTATAGATCAACAAACTTGATGATTATGAAGTTGCTTATTCCTTTAGAATTTATACTCATCCCAATCTAGCACCAAAATTAGACCGTATTTTTAGCTCATGATTAGAAATCTTGGCAGAAAAAATTGGCTCCAATTTGTTTTGCAAAGGAAGTTAATGTGACTATATCAAAGCAATCTCTTCTTGAGGCATTGAAGTTCTCTCTCTCTCTTTCTCTTTCTCTTTCTTTCTTTCTCTCTCTCTCTCTCTCTCTCTCTATGTGTAAATAGGCTTAACTTTTTTTAAAAAATAAATTTAATTTTCAAAAAGAATAGAGATTTTGAAATGTTGTGGAATCTATGTAGCTGTTAAATGTTTCTAAGAATACTATTATAAATATTAACTCCCTTCTTACTTGTATTTTAAAGTCTTAGGAAGAAAAAGCAAACTTTAAAAATCTTTTGTACATTTACTTAAATTCAGAACAGAACTGCTTTTTGGCTAAACATGCTATCAAACAAAGATTTTCAATGAAGTTGAAATTATTCAAAAATCACACAACTGAATTTTATGATAGTCCTTAGTTCAGGTTGCAGGTCCAATTCCATTAAGCAATATTTTCCTCTATACAAAACCAAACCACATGCTTACTATCAGGTTTACAAGCAGATATTTTCTTTAAATACCTCATAGATATGGTAGAGATTTGACCCTTCATCTGGCCAATAGTGGTAGCACTGTTTGAGTCCATTTTCCGTGAGAGGGGTTAGCATGACAATAACCACACAGCCGTTTTCCCAGACCATCTGCAGACAAAGAAAGACACCATGGTTACACTATGAGTGCCTAATTACTGCATGACGTGTGTAATTACTGCACTCAGAAACACAATTGAAATTTATTCCATTCACAGGAAACATGTTTCATTTTCATTAGACATTTTTTTGTACAGCTGTTTCCAAATCATTGAATAAAATGGAATCATATCTTGTATGTTCACATGAAATATTAAAGAATGTCCAAAGAATTTATATAAAAATTTAGATATATTTAAACTTATATAAATATATTTTTATATTTATATGTAAAACATTATAATGTAAAGTTTAACACTAAAAATATGAACCCTGGGAATATTCATATCCAAAATAAAATGAACACCAAGGTATTGATTAAAACTATAAAAGTTTAATTTAAAAACGCCAAGCTTTCGCCGTCATCTGCCGGCATCATCAGGGCTGGACCGCCAGGGTGTGAGAGAGTCATTTTATAGGCAGGCCGGAGTCTGCACTCGGCTCCTCGATCTCGTCACCGGACCCAATTGGTTAAATTGTGCTCCGGTGGTTCGTTTCTTTCTGTCCTTCCTAGCTGCGTGTGTATCTTCATCTACCTTCTTTTCTTTGGATTCTAAGGCAGGTGATGTAAACCTCTTGTCTCTTTGATTGTCTCTATCCCTCAATCCATTCCCCCTTTCGGGTTCGAGTGGTAGTTTGTATTTGTCCTTTTACTTTCTCCAATCACGCTTCACCCAGTCACTTTCTCTATGAGTGTCTTTCTTTTCATCCTTAATGCCCCTCCCTCGTGCCCAACTGTCATTAGAATGGTCGTGCACAATGTTCCAGACTGGCTGGGGTGGCTCAATGTATTGTTTTTCTATGGGGGTGATCTCATGGTTATAATTATCTTTGGCCATCACATCCTTCCCTTCCTTTTTATCCTCTGTGCTCCCATCGCGTATACCACAATCCGAGGTCTTGATCTGGGGGGGGGGGGTGGAGTTGCGATCTTCCTGAGCATCACAACGCTCCTTCTCTACTCTCCTCCTCATTCCAACGCCTCTCGCTCCTGCGCATGTTGACGATGCGGAGTGGGGGGATCGCTTCTTTCCCCTCAAATGAGTCATCTTGTTTCTTTCTGAGCGTCGGTGAGGTGTCAGGTCTAATGATCTCTCCCCATCTTTGTCTATCAATTCTTAAGGAACTGCAAAATCATTCATATCTACATTATTATGCCATACTTTGATGCTATATTTGTATGCAATTTTGATCGTCTTTTTATTAGCATATAAAATTACCTCATGAAAAGGAAACTGATCTTTGTGCAAAAGGTCACATTTATTCATAGAAATGTTTATAAGCAATTGCACTGAGATGTAAATAGAGTAAACAACAAAAATGGAGTGTTTAGATAAACAGCATACATTCAATTCAAAGTTTCCTTTTTTTGTTCCACACAGATTTATACTTGTCTTAATTTCATTTGATTTGCAGGACATTTTAAAACAAATATTTTGCTTAAAATACTTGACAGCATTAAACAAAAGCAAAGCATACAAATCTAGCAATGCTTGAAGTTAATATTTTTTATTTTTTGAAACATACCTCACCTATCTTCAACTCTGCAACAGATTTTCAAAATTCTGTTGAAATCTTTGACTGTGCTTACAGAACATTCTAACCCAGTCAGACATTAATCATAGCTCCATACCATTATTTAGCTTAATCTTAGTTCCATACCACTGAATCTGGCAGCACACAATCCCAAGGACATCTTTGGAGACATGTAGAATTTATTCCAAGTTCCATCAGTCCTGCCTTCCAGAAACCCTTATATCAGGAAAGTATGGACCTATCTTCATTTTGTGATAACATTTTCCCATCCACAATATATGGTGTATCAAAACAAGGATGGTGGTCATGGCAATGTGACCATAACCCAACATTGATGTTGTTCACAGATACAAGAGGTGGAATCCTTATAGGAATACTGTAGTTACCATATTTCCTATTCTGAACCCCTTCCTGATGTAGATATGGCTGCTTCTTCCTCTTTTGCCAGGGAAGCAGCAGTGAGTGTGGCTTAAGCAACACAACACATTAATATTTCAGAAGAGCTTCTTCTGGTTGCTATGGTTCTCCACTATGAGTTTCACAATGGTGTATTGGGTTTTCATAGCAGTTCTCAATTCTATCTCTTTTCTTTACATGTGTGAAGTATGGATTTAACTATTACCCACTTACTAGAATTTAGGATTCATATAACCCAGGTGACTGGGAACATAATTGCCTGAACACAGATTTAGATTAAATCCATTTTCCCCTCCTCTTGCTTAATACATTCACACAACATGTCTCCATAACAGACTCAATGAATCCAGCCACTGAGTATGGATCATTTTTGTAGGTCCTAGGGAAATGCCTGGGCAGAATCTTTCCCTGTTATTTGAGAATGGTTTGAACCTGCTGGGCTTAAGTGGACAGAGACCTTATGACTGTGAGCTCAGTTACCTGCTGTTTACATCTAAAACTGCCAAGAAGGTATTGTATGGGTGGGTTCTAGTAGTCAATCAATAAGAATAGAGCTGGAAGGAACCTTGGAAGTCTTCTAGCCCAGCCCCCTGCTCAAGCATTGGTTATGCTCTTGGATGATCTCTTGACCTCTTAATGGCATTTGATACCATTGATCATGATATGTTCTGGCTATGGGGATTGGAGATGGATGGCTCTATAGCATGCTGGTTCTCCTCCTTTCTCCTCAGTTCAGTTCCAATCACTGGTAATTGGAGGAGAACAATCACATTCTCAGCCCCCATTTTGTGGGATCCTGCAGAGTTTGGGGCTCTTTCCTGTCCTATTCAACATTTACATGAGGCCACTGTATGTTATGAAGTGAGAGGCCATTGGTATGCTGATGATATCCCACTATCCTTTGCTGCCCCTGCCCACAGAGTAAGTGATGCTGTTGATATCACATCCTGGAGATCCTGGGGACCTGCAAGGGGAGCAAAAGACTTCAGCTGAACCCTGATAAACTAAATAGCTCTGGATTTTGTGGCCCTTCAGTTCATGGATTATGCCATCTCTGGTATTGGATGGAGTTGCATTATCCCAAACAGACTCAATGTGTGATCTGGTATTCTCTAAAATGGAGAGTCTTTCTCAAAGAGCAGGTGGCAACCATGGCTAAGAAGCCTTTCATGCTGCATTGTTTTGTGTGCCAGTTTCACCTGTTCCTGTACTGGGAGGCTCTGCTCACAGTCACTCATGGCCTGATCGCTTCCTGTACAGTAGTATATCTACTGTAATGTGGTCTATAACGAGCTGTCCTTGAAGAATATCAGAAAGCATCAGCATCAAAATGCAGTAGGAGAGTTATGCATGCCCCTAGAATGGCTCATGTTATACTTCTGCTCTGCAGGGTGCACTATTTACTAGTTTCCTTACAGGTCCAATTCAAAATGCCATTTTTTTAACCTTTACCTTTAAAGCCCTCCAGGCATGGGGCCCACTTTTTTGAGAGACCACCTCCACTCATTATATCTGCCCATCCCCTAGCTTAAGGTGTGTGCTTTGAGTCCTGTCTACAAAATAATTTCATAGTGGGAAACAGAAGATGAGTCTTTTCTGCCTGCACTTGTGCAACATCTTCCTGATGTGAGATTGGCCCTATCGATATCCTTCTGGAAGTCTTTCAAAATATGGCTGTGTCAGCAGTATTGGGGATCTCAAGGAAAACATAATCTAATCAAGATGGCTGCATTGTTTTTAGCATCTATTTTTTTCTACTATTTTGCTGTTAATAATATTGCTGCTGTCTTTTAATATTTTAATATTTTGATTTTACTATTGTTTTTATTGTGTACCACCTAGAGATGCTTTTTTGTGAGATGCATGGCTACATAAATATGATAAATGAGTATGTTACATGTTTAGCAGTAAATAGTGTATTAGAATCAGATTTCTCCCTTCATAACCAATACTAATTGCACAAAAATGGAACACTAAAATTTTCAAAAACTATACCCAGGTCCATTAATTTATACACTTCAAAGAATTCTAAACTACACACCTTACTTTTAAGCTATTAGTGCTAAACTCATGCACATACAAAAGATTGGACAGAGTGGTTGGTTTTTCCATCATGTGACAATTTAATATGCCTTTAGAAGATACAGCATCTCAATGAAGCCATTACAAAAATGAGGAGAAACACTGTTTTTATGAGTGCAATAAAAGCACAATGATCTAGGTCATAAACTAATCATTGAGCAGTTGCTTGTGTTACCCAAGTGTATCATTATACAAACCTCCTTATTCACAGAAAGGAAAAGGAATTCTTACAGTTTGGCTTCTTATTGGCTAAAAAAATTAAATATTTCATTAGAGAAGCTTCCTCAAATCGCTTAAAATTTCCTTTGAGCATAAATCAAATGAAATTAATTTAAACAAACAATTTTCAAATTACCCTGGAGTGTATTTCTTATATGTCGTTGTATTAAGCAGCTGACACTCAAAGTTAATGTTGTGAATTCCTTGACTTCCATTACAATTATATGTAACATTTTGCTGCCTATAATTCTTCCACGCTTAAAACAGAATGATCTCTTAGCTTATTTCCTTGAGTTATTTTTTGAATAATACAAGTTTCCCAGCTTATGTATTCCTTTGATTGTTGCAAATAACCCCAATCAATTCTTTGCTAGCCACTGACAATTTAGAGTAGACATGTCAAACTCACAACATCACGTGATGTCATACAATGTATTGGGATGGTTTTGCCATTGCCGGCAATGGAGTGGGTGCGGCTTCCAGGGGCCGGCAGTTTGACACCCCTGATTTAGAAGGTTTATTTATTACATTTATAGTTTAACTGTTTTGAGAAGTAACAAGCGGAAAAAATAATCTTTTGGATTACATTATCTGAAGCACTCTAACAATCATTCATTTTTTTAGGACAACAATATGAAATGTTATGCTTAAAATCTTATCCATCATGCTCAGTAATATTTTTTCTTTTAGCTCTTAAA